TATATAAATATATATTTATATCTCAGTACATTGTATTGTAGGCAATAACAATTAAATAATCTAAATGGTAACTGTAACTCTCACAAAAAGAAATAAACATTTATCAAATTAGTAATTGTAAGTTCATATAATGCAATAAGAATGATTCCCAAAAAAGATTTTCATAAGTGCAACAGCTGTATAAAAAGTTATTCAATAGTCTGCCAGAATGTTACATTCATTCCACTAGCCTGACTAAGCACATACAAAATGTCTAAAACACTGGAGGTAATGAAAACAGCTACAGTAGTACAGTACTGAGGAAACAGCTAGACTCTGATATACGCAGCGCCCCTCCCTTTCCTTACCTACAATTTCTAAACAAGTTTGATCACACTGACATCTCTGCCCAGAAAAAAAAAAGATAGGTGATGCCAACTACCTAATGTACCTAAGCTAAGGTTGCCCTGCATGCACTGTGTACTGCGTTAAGGCCATGGCTTAACCTTAACAATGACCCATGTTTAATACTGGTTCAACATCAGTTAGAAGCAATGGTGATAAGATAGAGGTGAAAAGAGGACACAAAGTGAAATAATTCCTACTGCAGATTTATTTTCCTTTTTACAACAGTAGAGGAATAAATAAGAGACATGGTAAGACATGCTGAAATCACAGGCACCATAGACCAAAGTATCAATATATAATGCCTGTCAAGAGCTCCCTGAAGCTAAAAGATTACATTCAGCTAAGAGTCTCAATATACATCCATGGCTGATGCAAGAAATGTAATTCAAATGTCCAGTATGCTTTACTGAGACAAAATAATGTATAAGAGAACCATTATCAATTTCCATGTGTGTGCCATCAAGTAAACACAATGGATATGTTAATTACAAGCTTGCCATGATGTATTAACTAAATATATGTGTACACATAAACACAAATGATAATTTTCTCACCTCCATGGGATCTCTTAAGCTAGTATTTCCTAATGTTTCTTCTTTCACTGGAGAAAACGTTTGAGGCTTCAGAAGAGTTAGATTAATGTTGTCAGAGTGAGAAAAGTATGTTCTGTAACACTGACTTTCTGGATTGGAGGAATCCAGCCTGATCTCCATGTACTTTAGTGTTCCATCCATATTGAAGCCAAGTGTTGGCTGGAATGTTTGAGGACAGTGTTCAGAATTTGACTGATGTAAAAACCAACAAGGATACTGGCACAAATACAATTCTTTTTTATAACATTTCACCACCAACAGAACAAATGTTATAAGACACGCCAGACTAATGATGACCAAAGAAATAATGAGGTACAAAGTTATGTCAGTCCTGTTTGCAGAAAAGAAATTATAGACATTAGGTGTTGCATTTTCTGAGATGCTGTCTAATGATACGACTACTGTAACTGTAAGTGACAAAGATGGCTTGCCATTGTCACTGATAGCAAGCACAAGTTTCTGCAGGTAATCATCAGCTAGTAAGAAACTTCGAACAGTTCTTATTTCTCCAGAGTGAGTGGATAAGTTAAACATAAAGTTATCGGAAGATTCCACAAACTTGTATGATAGCCAGGCATTATCACCAGAATCTAAGTCCACTGCAGATAGTTTGGTTACCAGGTAACCCACTGGCACGGCCTTTGATAGTTTTAGATTGGTGGTTGAATCTCCTGTATACTTAGGATATAACAAATTAGGAGAGTTGTCATTTGTATCCCCAATAAAAACAAACACAGTTGTATTGGACGATAGTCTTGGGTCTCCAGAATCCCCAACTTGAACAATGATTTCTAAGACATGAATTTGTTCATAATCAAATGAGCACTGGGCATGAATATCTCCACTTACTGGGTTGATAGATACAAATGATGAAATAGGCAAACCAAAAAGCTGTTTTTCAGCAATAGAATAGGTTAGAATTGCATTGTTCCCCTCATCTGGATCACAGGCTGACACTGTATAAAGCCAATGACCAGGTTCATTGTTTTCAGGAATGTATGCGTTTAAATAGTGGTTCAAAAACAACGGCGGGTTATCATTAGTATCAGATATATTGACCATTATTGTTGTTTGTGAAGATAAAGCAGGTGACCCCTTGTCCACAACAGTCAAAATAATTTCATACCGAGCAGTCTTTTCTCTGTCAAGGGGTTCATGTACAGTTAGAGCATAGTGATCTTTAAATGATTTAATTTCAAAAGGCAAATCTGGTGATACGAAGACCTTAACTTCTCCATTTTTCCCGGAATCCAGGTCAGTCACAGAGAAAAGTCCAATAGTTGTTCCAACATTTGTATCCTCTGGAATCTGACCCAACAGAGAAGTAAGTAGAATCTCTGGCAAGTTATCATTGACGTCACCAATCTCTATCTGAAGAAGACAGCTACCTTCCATTTGTGGTGTCCCTTTGTCTTTAGCTTTGACAGTTAACTCATAGTTTTTAGCACTTTCAAAGTCTAATGTAGCATTTGTACTTATGACCCCTGTGACTGGATTTAAAGAAAACAACTGTCTGTGGGAGACTGGTGTTCGACTATCAAAAGCATATTCTACTTCAGCGTTGAGCCCCTCATCCAAATCTGTTGCATTAAGCTGCACTACTACAGTGTTCAAGGGAGCATTCTCTGGTAAGTTAATTTTATAGGAACCTTGACTAAACACAGGAGCATTATCATTAAAATCCAGAATAATGATAGTGATTTGTGATATTCCAGATTGTGGTGGACTACCACCATCAAAAGCTGTAAGTATAAGATGATGGCTTCCTCTTTCTTCTCTGTCTAATGCCTTTTCTATGACCAGCTCTGGACTAGGTACACCATCCTTGTGGCGTCTTGCAGACAATGAAAAATAAGAGCTTGCACTCAAATTATATTGTCTTACCCCATTGATACCTGAATCAAGATCATATGCTTCTTCTAAAGGAACTCTGGCACCAGGATAAGCAAGGAACTCTGTGATTTGTATCACCTGTTCAGATGTTGAGAATGTGGGAGAATGATCGTTTATATCTAAAATCTCAACTTCTAATCTATGGAGTTCTAATGGATTTTCAAGAACTACTTCTGCAGCTAATACACAGTGTAACTTAGATCCACACACATTTTCCCGATCTACTGTTTTGGCTAAAGTTACGTTTCCGCTTTGCTGATCCACAGCAAAATACTGGCTGCTTCCTGTCAACCTCAGTTGCATTCTGCGTTCAAAGACAGCGACTACCGGTATACCCACATCTTTTGCTACATTACCAATTAACGTCCCTGATTCTGCTTCCTCCATCAGAGCATAATGAAGAGTCTCCGAGGCTGTATCCCGGGTACAGCACAGAAATAAAATGACAATTTGCCATGTCCAAGTCTCAGTAGATATTTGGATACCCATAGCTTAAATGCTTTTTCTCCAATGTACATTCATATGTCCCGTTACACACGCCTTTACAAATGTGCATATCCATCTGAACTGTGTTTGAAATATCTACGGGGTTTACACTGTAATGTCAGCTGTGCATTCTGTTACTAGAGAATGTGGGGAAGCAGATCTCTCAGCGAAGACTTAGTGAGGAGGGTAACCCACACAGCAGAAATAGAAGTTTTACAAGTTACTCCTAGCTGTACAGATTATTCTGCCACCTCTTGGTCAGAGGAATTCTAAATGTTTTGTTCATTTAAATAAATAAAGTTTGTGCTTTCTTAAGTACTGGAGCTTTAAATATTATTAAAATGTTTTCAGCATTCTGGCAAGTATCTGGTAATGACATCACTGCAGTTGTTTTACTAAAGCATACTATGATTAATGACCTACGTCTACACAAATCTGTAATATATTAGGCCAGCACAGCAGCCATAATACACAGGCAGCATACATCTTTATGTTCAGCCATAGGACCACTTTTGACCATTGTTACGCTAGTTCAGTAACCCGTTTTACTAAAATAAGAAGTGCTTTTCTTTTACAAAGTGAACAGGTTTGTTTGTAAACTAGTTTGCTATTTTGGCAACACAACCGTAGTTTTAACAGATACGTACAGTACGTTCTATGATCAAACATCACAATAAACATTATTGCTGGTGAATGGGAAATATCATGCCCCCTACTGGAGAGCATCATTACAAGTCTGAAGGCACAAAGCAGAGCTAGGTCAAACTTACTTATCACATATACAACATAGCAAGTTACATTGGAAGTGCAGTCAACAGTGTGCACTCCCACCTTTAACTCTTGATTTCTGTCTCAGAATGTTAAAGAAAATTGGCAATGACAAATAAAATATATCTGGAAATACTATCATACTGTTTACATGATACTGTAAGTCTCTACAAATTGTACATATATAAATACACAAAGCACTTTAAACAACATAAAGCACCTTTGTCTGTGATATAATAAAAGTGACTTAAATGAGCTAGCTTTAATAGCTAGGTAAACAGAAGACCACTAAAAGGACAAATTAATTTCTATCTCACTTGTGCTGGACCTCTCCAAGTAAACTCTCCAGATACAGCATCTTCACTCTCATTGACTAGCTGCTTCAACTGGGGGAAATTCAGTGATTTCATCATATATAAAGTATCCCTATTAATATCTGAGGAGCAGCCAGTCTTAGAGTGCTGATCACCAACCACAACAGGAACTTCTACATATCTCAGAGTGCTGTTATAATTCAACTGTAGAGTTTTTTGTGATGGACCTATATATTGATTTAGATCTGGGTCAGCCATTTGATTCTTACTCCTGACACATTTCAGCAACAAAATAACTAATGTAACAACTGAAACTACACTAACAGAAACCAGTGCTATGATAAGATACATTGTGATGCTGGGATTTTGTTTGGTGTCAGCAAATAAATCTTTTGAATGGTGACTTTCTTTAGAGGATCCGTCCTCAGCAGAAATAAAAAGCGTTGCTGTAGATGACAATGAAGGGTTTCCGTTATCCTTTACCACAATGCACAGGTTTTGTACAGGTGAATCTGTCTCTAAGAAACTTCGAGCCATTCTGATCTCTCCTGTGTGAGGAGCAATTTTAAATAAAGATAGATCTGTTGCTTTTGCTATGTTGTAAGTGAGCCAGGCATTGTATCCAGAGTCACCATCCACTGCTACAACTTTGGTTACCAAGGAAGCTGCAGGAAGAGATCTGGGGACCAGCTGCTGTGCTGGAGCATGTCTTGAGTTTGCTGGGTATAAAATTGAAGGATGATTATCATTCTCATCAACAATGTGAAGATACACTGTAATGTTAGATGCAAGTTTTGGAATCCCAGAATCCTCTGCTCTGATGGTAAACTGTAAAACCTGTGCAAGTTCATAATCAAATGATTGCTGGGCAAAAATATTTCCATTTTGTGTGTCCATATAAATAAAAGACAGTGCAGGGGAACCATTGATAAGGCTGTTAATAATAGAGTAGGTGATATGAGCATTTTCTTCTTCATCTTTGTCAGAAGCAGTGACAGCACACAGTAATGCCCCTGGTTTATTGTTTTCTTTGATCTCAACGTACATGACTGATCTTTCAAAAATTGGAGCATTATCATTAATATCTGAAACTGTTATATTAAATACAGTTTGTGTTGTAAGTTGAGGCATTCCCATATCTGTTGCTGTGAGTTGAATGGTGTATTGACTAGAACGTTCTCTGTCAAGTAATGCATTTGTGACTAAGGAATAGTGATTTAGAACATTTGTAATAGAAAATGGAAGATCCGGAGATATCTCCAGCTGTACTTCACCATTTTTACCTGTGTCTTGGTCTTTTACCCTTAAAAGCCCCACTGTGGTCCCAACTGGGCTATCTTCAGGAATGGAAGACACTAATGATGAGATAATAATTTCAGGTACGTTGTCATTCATATCTTCAATATCTACTTGAATAGCACAATGTCCTTCCATTGCTGGAACTCCATGATCAAGAGCCTTGACAGAGATCTCATATGAACGTTGTTTTTCAAAATCTATGTGTTCTTTAACTCGTATTTCTCCTGTCTGATGATCCAAGCTAAAGACATTGCGAATGTCTTCTGAGGAGATATCCTCAAAGTAATAGCTGACCTCACCATTGACACCTTCATCTTTATCTGTTGCATTTAGTTTTATTACAAGATAATTTAATGGTGCATTTTCTTTCACATTTATTTTATAGAAAGTATTGTCAAACACAGGAGCATTGTCATTGTTATCCAGTACAATAACGGAAATGACCATAGTCCCAGATCTAGCTGGATTGCCACCATCAAGAGCAGTCAGAACCAACATGTGCTCTGCTTGCTGTTCCCTGTCTAAGGCTTTTTCTAATACAAGTACTGGAGCAGGCCTATCATTTTTACGATTCTGTACAATTAAAGAAAAATACTGGTTCTCTTCTAATTGGTAGGAGGTGACAGAGTTGATTCCCACATCTGGATCCTGAGCTCTTTCTAGGGGAAATCTAGAACCGACAGCAGCAAATTCTGTTACTTTTATAGTACGTCTTGTGTTTTGAAAAACAGGAGAGTTGTCATTTATATCCAGAATCTCCACCTCCAGGCGATACAGTTCCAAAGGCTTTATTAGAACAATCTCCACAGGCAGAACACACTCAGGGCTGTTGCTACACAGCATTTCTCTGTCGATTCTGTGCTTCGTTATAAGTGTTCCACTTTCCAGATTCAGTGCAAAATATTGCTGGCTTTGTTCAGATCCCAGCTGCAGTCCTCGCTCAGAAATCCCTGCTGTGTTTAATCCCAGGTCCCTAGCAACATTGCCTACTAAACTCCCAGGCTCGGATTCTTCCAGTAAAGTATACTTTAGTTGTGCAGAAGCAAAGTTCCTCATACAAACAAAGAATAAACCCATTACTTGCCAGCGCCAGGAATGGTGAGCTCTCTTCTGTTCCATTCTCAGAGATTTCGACGTGTAGAGTGATAATGTGACAAAGGCCAATAAGTTTAGAGCGCAGTGTAGAAGAGAGTAAAGCAGCTCTGTCTTTGCTAATGTGCTTGGCAGATCTGGTTTCCTGGCTGGCTGTCACTTTAGTGTGTTACTAGCGGACAATGTATTACAAACAGCTTTCATCAGAAGAAATTTTGCTGCCATCTAGTGATGAAAAACTAAATGACAGGGGCAACCTCATACCTTTGTGTCTTGAGGGCAATAAAACAACAATTCCAATAACTACTTCCTCTTCATTTCCTTTGATTTTGATATGATACAAGTCGTCAACGTAAGGACTACAATTTAATTTGTACACACAAACCAAAAACAGCAAACCAAAAAAGACCTAGAGAATGGAGGTAACTTTGTTTTATACCAACTGGACCATCTTAATATTATTAAGTAGCAAAGTGCATGCCAATACACCTAATAGTCCTCACACAGTCTCATTGCAGTGCTCTACATTGACAACATAATTCATCTGCTATAAATTACATGAGCTCCCAATGATTAGATGTATGCAAGGTTATGCACTGATGTCCTTGTGGAAAATTGTAAGCTTTTAAAAATGCACTCACACACAATGGAATTATCCTACAAAAAGCCACCACAAGCTCCTACACCAGTTACACCAGTATTACTAGTTTTAGCCACAAACAAAAATATGACATTCCTATTAACTCTCAACAGAAGAAACAACATTTATGAATAGTCTTATGTGATACATAGAATAATTGCCAGTGTGTCTGACAGATTGCAATGAGTGATAACATGTTATGAATTTCTTAGTTTATTCATTCGTAGGAAATTTTTTTAACTATAATTTGAATCTTCTAAAAGACTCTAAAAACAATTGGACACTTCCATAACTAAATATGACAGTATTTGTTTAATAATTGAGATGCCACACAAACACAGTATATGTTTTGCATAAATCAATACTGCGATCAGATCAACTTTTATGACAACCAGCACACGATTAAGGTAATTGAAGTGAAGATAGAGTGACGTGGGAGGTAAGCACATGTACGTTACACCTTATACAGTAGCATTAACCTGCTAATATTCCTGACATGGGCAAACTACAGATCACCTTTTACTGCCAACCAGTCAAAAAAAAACAATTCCACCTAAACTTTTTTCCACCTTTGCAATATAAAGTGAAAAAACCCTACTCAATGTTTGGTGCATTCTCATTCATACAGCATACCTAAAAAATATATTTTTACATTATTTCTTGCCTTGTGTCTTTGAAGCAGAGTTATACATAATACTCTATAAGCAGGTTCTATTACTTAGAATAGATGGCAATATGCAGATAAGGGACATATTTGAGGGACAGTTTATTTTTAAAGATTCATCAACATGAAATGCAGAACACAAGTCTTGAAATAGGTTTGTCCAGTTAAGATTTGAAAATGAAAGATAGAAGCTGATTGGTTGCAGTGCACATATGCTGCAGATTTCATCTGCTCCAAAGTTGATAAATTCCCCTCATGGTGTTCAAATCTAGTTTACAGCTGATAATGAAATCTGCCAGCACAGTACAGACCGGGTTAATTATATTAAACATCACTCCACAACACCCCCTCCACATTACATTTTTATGCTATGCTATGTGAATGAGAACATGTAACAAATATAAAGTAGTTATTATCCCAATTGGGCTGCAAGAGTGGAAATGCACTTTACATTTTTCTTGTCCCAATTATACTTTAAGGCTGATTTACTAAAGCTGTTGAGAATGTTCCCTCTTAAAATGGAGCGAAGATTCACTCAATCATTTGCAGATTAAATAAATAAACAAGGATTTGTGTTTCACATGGTTGGATAATTAAAGTATTTGAATAAACGTTTTCAACTTTCTTAGTAAATCAGTCTCTGTTTATGGGAGGGTGAGACCTGGCGTGAGAAAGGTGTGAAGGAAGGGGAAATTTGAGGACAGCATGTATACCCCAAAATAGGTTCTTATGCTTTCCTGTGCTAGCAAGAACAAGAGCTGGGTTAGTAAAGCTGAGTTAAGTTAAAGCGGACCGTT